TGATTTCATTAACTGTCACCATATTTCTCAACCTCCTCTCAAGCACCCTCTCTACTACCTTCATTCCGTGCTCTAGCAATTTCACACCCCTATATGACTCACAATCTCTCACATCTCCTTTGCCCTTATACAACGGCACCAACACACTGTGTCGCCAATCCTCAGGTATACCTTCATCAAACATACTGTTACCAATTCTCATCATAACTTCAATTCCTATCACCCCACTCGCTTTTATATGTTCTGCCGCCACTTCCGAAATCCCTGTCGCCTTACCTAGTTTCATTTCTCTAACTGCTTTCTCTACTTCCTCCATCGTCACCTTCTCTATAGGTCCGTGTGTGACCGCGAATTCCACATCTCCATCCCACTCATTCTCTTCATTCATCAACTTTTCCATATGAACTTTCCACACCTGAGCTTTTTCCTCCTCATCTATGCACAACTTGCTAGATCCATCCCAAACACATCCATTCCCTATAACATCTTTCCTATCCCTCATTGGCTGCTTTGCTACTTTGAACATTTTCCTCGAACTCACATCAAATTCCATTTCCTTCATTAACCTATCTGATGCTTTCGTCATTGCAGTTGCCACTGCCTGTTTTGCAACCTTCTTAGCCTTCCTATACTCAAACTCCGCTTCCTCCGTCATGTCCCTTCTCCATACCCTAAACCTCTCCTTCTTGACCTCCAAAACCCTTCTTATATCTTCATCCCACCACCACGTCTTACTATGCCTACACTTTCCTTTCGTCCATCCACATACTTTATCTGCCGTAGCCAACACACAGTCCCTGTATCTCTCCCAAACATCTCCATCCATACCACTCTCCCAATTTTCAGCCACCTTCACTTCAAATGCCTTCCTCACTTCTGCATCCTGCAACTTCCATGTCTTTCTCTTTGCCACAAACTTATCCTTCTTCCTCCTCCCCATTTCTTTTGATGTCACATCCATCACAACCATACTATGCTGCAGCATACCAGGTATCGCCTTCA